ATCTGACAAAGTCCCATCCTGAGAATCTTCTCCCTGGAAAAACTCCACCCCAAAGAAGCCCTGTATGAGCCCGGCACCTGCTCAGTTTACTGCTGCCCTTTTCCACCATGGCATAGGCCCCCACTCTCCTGGGTTCTTCCCTTCCAATAAATATCTTGAATGAGGTTTGGGTGCCAAACTTTCCCCGGCCCCCACCAGAGCAGAGATAGGGCCTGGGCTGGGTAGAACAGAGCAAAGCTGTAACACTATTGCTGGGGAAACATTCCGCTAGTGAAATGGAGAGGAACTCTAGGCGACTGGAGCAGAGCTGTTACAACTTCCGCTGGAGCAGAGCTGTTACTGAAGAAACCTTTTTCCGGAGCAGGGCTGTAAGCTGCTGTGCTTACTGTGACCTGTGGCGTTCCTTGGCTCCCTACTGCCAGGATCCCTTTGCATCTGAACTGCAACGCTTACAGAAGCCTTTATAAGAACATGTATTCTCTTTTTTTATGATTGTAGAGCTGCAAAGACAAAAACCTACTTTACAGTAAATGTAATTCTTTTTTAATTGTTTTATTGAGCTATATATTTTTCTCTGCTCCCCTCTTTTCCTCCCCTCTCCCTTTTTGCCATTTCCTGTAATCTCCATGCTTTCAATTTACTCAGGTGATCTTGTCTTTTTCTACTTCTTATGTAGATTAGATCCATACATGTCTCTCTTAGGGTTCTCTTTGTTGTCTAGAAGAACATGTATTCTTTTATGCATCCACACAGCTACTTGCTCACCAACAGGGAAGCAAGAAAATGCCCTCTTTACACAGACTACTCTCCCTCAATGCTAAGGTCCAAGAAAAACAAACCCATCCTCCTTAGTTAGAGGAAGAAAAAGAAGGAAGAGCAATAGAGGACAGGTATTTTTACGTAGAGACTATTGGATTTTCTGGATCTGTCCTTAATCTCATGTATGTTTTATCTTATTCTCTTGTCCTTCTGTGAGGAGAAAATGTCAGTGAAAAATCTGAGAGTCACACTAGTTCTTCACATGCAACACAACAGAAATCCACTCTCAAATAAATGGGTTCACATATAATCTATAGTACTAAAAAACAGCTTTCAAGACTTTCTTGGGGGTTGTTTACCATTTAATAACATCTTCACAGAAGTGTGAGAATTGGCTTGAAGCTTCTCTTAGAGAAAAGCACCTTTGTTCTAACTGTCAGACCCGCAAGTGTATGTTCCAGACCAATAGCCCTGCACTAATAACCACATGCATGATTTGAGCCTTTTTAATAGTAGCTGATCAGAGCCCTTAGATCGGTGATCCTCAGCATTGTCTGCACATTAGCATCCCCTGAGAACCCATAAAATCCCCCAATACCCAAGCGGTGTCTCAGACATATAAATTAACGTCCCTGAAGATGAAACTCGGGTGTCAGTAGTGTTTAAATCTCCCCAGGTGATTTTGGTGTGAAGCTAAAATTAAGAAATAGTGCTTCAAATCTTTGCTTTATCTAGAAGAGAAAATAAAAAATATAAAAGGGATGATTCGAGCTTTCACTTTAACATTTTTAATTTGTCAAATTTATTGCTTTTCCAGATAATATCCTGTCAACAATTTTTCAGTCTGGGGAGGTGGCTCAGTGGATAAAACATGAGTTGCACAAATACGAGGAACCCAGTTCAGCTCCACAAAACCCACATAAAAGTTAGCCACCATGATTCCAGTAATCAGAAAGCAGAGACAGGGTATTTCTGGGCAAGCTAGCTAGCTAGGCTAGCCAGGATCAATGAGTCCTGGGTTCAGTGAGAGACCCAGCTCAATCAATAAAGTATAAAGTCACCTGAGAATGTCACCCAGTGTCAACTTGGGATTTTCACATGCAAGCAGAGATATGTACATGAACACCTAACATGTACACCCATGTGTGCCTCCCATGTACATACACACACATTTACATGCCATTCATGGACATTTTAAAAATTGGTTATGTATCAGCCTGAGCAAATGCTTGGGAGAACTGACTCCATCAGAGACCCTTCAATAACATTTCTCATTCAGAACGGAACCATCTCAAGCCGATCTGAAGAGCAACATTCTCAGCTGGATTAATTGCAAGGTCAATGGGTGAAACAAGGAACACACAAGGACACATTTGCCAAAAGAACTCACACTACACCGAAAAACATTAAAGATCAGTCAAAGAGCTGGTGAAATGGGTCAGTGAGTAAAGATGCTTGATCCAAACCTGCCAATCCAAGTTTGACATGCAGGACCTATATGTGGAAGAGGAGAACCAGCCCCTGTAATTGGTTCTCTGACCTTAGGTGCTATGGCATGTGTGCCCTCACCAAGAAAAAAAATGAAAACTTGTATTTTGTGTTTAAATATATTAATTAAAGCAAACATTAAATATGTAAGACTGTAGACCACTCCGAGTTAAAATGGCTTCCAGTTTTCCACTAAATTCTCCAAGGGTATGCACTCCTTTAGGCTACTATGATTGTACTAGGATCAGTCATGGGCAGGAGAATTAGTGGGATCTTAACACACATTTTCGTAGTCTGTCAGCAGCTACAGGCATGGATATGCATAGGACACTGAATTAAAACCAAAATTTAGAATCCTAATGCCGCATCCCAATTGATGTGTTCCGATGCAATGTTTATTTATTAATTTTCTGAAGTGGGTTTCCATGTCAAACCCTTTATGATTGATTGGTACAGGCTTGACTTTATCGAATTAAGTGTGCTTACGTCTAATTCCATAAAGTCTCTACTTTATAATTCATGCCTCTGTCATCAATGGGAATTAGGAAGCAGGTTCAATTCTAATGCAAAAATATTTACCTTGACAGAGTTTCACGAAATAAAGCTAACACACAACCTCTCAAGCCCAGAAATTATATTAACTTTTAGCAATACCAGAATAAAAGTGAGCTGAAGGCAAGGAGGCAAGATTTCATATGTTGTGATCTTTCACATCACATCACAAGCAAGAACTTAGAGAAGATGATAAAAACAGGAAGCGGCCATAAAGTAGCCTCTACTGGAACCAGCCTCATGGACCTCAAGTGGATGACCACAGTTTTGTGGCAGTATGGGGAGCCCCCATTGCTCCAGAGTATTCCAATTTATATAGAGTCTGTATTATTTAGTAAGGACCTTGGCTGAATCATCCAAATATTCACTGAAATTACAATCCAGAGGTGACTGCATCCAGACAGCAGCTGTGCCTTATATATTTCCATATTCCCACAGAAGCAAGCACGCTGTAGGTACTCAACAAATGTTAAGTGATTGCACACACTTGTGGAATGACCCTTCCCTGTGGGCCAGCCATCTTCGCTACAGCATCGTTGACAGATGGGACTCTGACATCTGCTTCCATGCCATCCACTGACAGATATCTAATGACCTCCTACGGATGTTGCTTCCCTTATGTGGCCACTCTGATGATGAGAGAGCTTTGTCTTTCGTTAAACTGAAACCTGACTTGGTATAATGGGCTCCCTCTCCCCTGAATTCTGTCCTTTATAAAACACAAAAATGAATCTCTTCCATCTTCTTTCTCTACTTCTCAAAAAACTGTAACAAGTGAGAGCTTGCCAGGTTCTCTGTCACCTGAGATCACATGTGATACAATACGCTGTTTTTTTTTTTTCCACTAGGATTTCAAATTTGAATGTTGACATAAGGGCTTGATAAGTCCGTAATTGAAGTCAAGATTCCAGATAAAAGCAAAGAGTGACAATATCACATATTAATTTAGAAAACCTTTTAATTAACCATATATATCTTTTTCTCCATACAACACACACCCAACATGTCCCCTTCAGTCTTCTTGTCTTCTGTCCTTCCAAAAGTCATCTCTAAACTTGTCATTAGATCAAAGAAGTGCCTTCATCAATAGTGCCCACTACTTTTATGGTCGTAAACATGCAGTAAGTTCTTTCTATAGGCCAGGAAGTCCTTGAGCACCATAAACAAAGAAGGTGTCCCTTTTCTCATTGGGCTTATAATCCATGAAGGTATGTAAGAGAACTAGTCAACACACTAGGATATAATTTCAGATAAATAGGTGGACATGGACTGCACAAAGACTTGTACATACAAGTTCCATAAGACAATGAATTTAAGCTAAGATTAATTTGAGGAAAATAAACCATAGAAAACTCAACAACAACCACATTTTAAACCTCTTAGTGAAGTGTGAGACATCTACAGGTGATGTCGTGTACAAATTTGAAATGCATCTCCTCCACTCTTCACCCACATCAATAATTAAAGTGTCACATGGAGGAGACTGGAGAGATGGCTCAGAGGTTAAGAGCACTGACTGATCTTCCGGATGTCCTGAGTTCAATTCCTAGCAACTACATGGTGACTCACAACCATCTGTTATGAGATTATGAGATCTGGTGCGGGCAGACATGCAGAACATTAAAAAAAAACAACTTTTTTAAAAAAAAGCATTACATAGAACATGATTTTCAAGAAGATATTTATGGTACCTAGAGATCCCTTACTGCACTGCCTCATGCTGCATCTAATGACAAGAATTTTGTCAACATAATTAAAGATTTCACAAACAGGTGAGAATTTTAAACTACTAAGAAAGTAGTTTAAATGTGAACGTCTCTCATTCGGCTCCAGCATTTGAATACTAGGTCAATAGTGGGTGGAGCTCCTTGGGAAGCCTGGGAATATGTGGTCTTGGTAGAGTAAGTACATCATTAGGAACAGGCTTTGAAAATTCAAAGACCTGCACCATCCCCATTGTACTGACTCTGCTTCCTGTGATTCAAAGTGAATCCTCAGCTTCTTCCTCCAGTCAAATGCCTGCTTGCTGTCATACTTTCCCCTTGTGATGATGAGGGACTCTCATCCCTCTGGCACTGTAAGTCTGAATTAACCTTCCTTTGGTGAGTTACCTTGGTCATGGTGTTTTATCACAGCAATAAAAAAAAACTAATACACCCACTAAATTTCCATAAACAACAACAAAAAAGGCATTCTCTTACTTGGTGTTGGAGTGCTTTTCTCCTGGGGAAGGTTGCTTGTGAGAATATGAAACATGGATGTGTGCATTTTAATGAAGCTGGACTTGAAGCATTGGCCCCTGTGGAAAGACCACATCTCACTACTGTAGTCAGATGTAGCTTAGTTTCCCAAAACAAGGGCAAACACACCTCTCTTAGAAGACTGCCCTTTCTTGGTTACATGCTGTCACATTACCAGATGCAGCCAGACAATAGAGGCCTGTATTGTACATATCACCTTTCAGAGGCTTGAGGTTGGTATTCTAGAAAGGGACTTGATTGATGGGTGATATTTCTATATAACCACATGGCCCTGCCCATGGTTCACTGGCTCTTGTTTTCTCCAATTGGGAGAGGCACAATTTCCCCAGACCCTGCATCAATTAGAAAAAAAAATGCTGTATATAAGAGATAAGAACATTTTCTTGAGGCAGGGTCTCATGTTCAAAGCTGGCCTCCAATTCACTATATAGCCAAGACTAACCTTGAATTTCTGACCCTTCTGCCTCTACCCCCTTACTGCTAAGAAGAAAGGTCTGTGTCACTGTCTGAATTCTGTAGTACTAAGGGTGGAAGCCAGAACTCACTGTATTCTGGGAAAGCATTCTACCAACTAGCTACATCTCCAACCACAGCAGATAGTTTGCTTTAGCTTAGCTTCTAAGGTGAGGGCACACTAATTCACCTAAACTCCGTGTTCTATTCACTTTTACACTGCATAGTCTCTTTCATGCAGAACTTCAGCTTACTGTGTCATACCAGATACAACTCTAGAAGGCATCCTTGATGGAAAATTTTTACAGATTTCCATAATCTGTATAATAATGTTCTAGAAAATATTGCGCTTCTTTTCTGAGAATGAGAGCTTCCTTCCAGCACAAGAACATTGTGCGATTGAGCAGTTGGGCTGGCTCATAACCTGGCTTAAAAAGTATGCCTTTTAAACAAACGGGCAACTGAAGGATATGAAGTACTGTCCTGTGTTAAAGTAAAGAAGTGAAAGGACCTCAGATATCCATCAGTAGCAAATGAATAAATATGATCTGTTCACAGACCAGAATACTAATATGCCTTCAAAAGCATCTTTTGAAGCCCTAAGTTCTAGCATGGACAGACCTCCAAGAAGATAAGTCTGGAAATGGGAGTATAGAGGGCTTTTATGTAACAGTACAATGTAGAATCAACTTCCGGATAGAGGTTACACCTCGATACAGATGGAGGAAAGGAAAGAGACCTGGGGAGCACAAAGGCCCAGGTCAATAGTACTTATTAATGATAAAATATTAACATGAATTAAATGTGGGCCACAGTTCTATCGGTACCTGTATTTTTGTATGTGTTTTTGTAAATAGTTCATTTTTTAAGTGAAAGAGAACAGAAGTTCAGCTTTATTTTCCCCAAAGGAGCCATGATATTCTTCTCCTGTGGTAATGAGCTCCCAATTACCTGGTGGTTTTCTACTTTTTTCTTTTTTTAGCAAGACTCTTACTTTAAATGAATTTTTTTTCAGAATTCCTAATATATACAACCAATAAGAACTGAGGCGCCCTGGGGCCCTACTTTCTCAAACTCCCTCTATGCATCCTAACAGGGTCCCCAAAGGTATCATAAAACGCAAGACTCCATGGAGTACAATGTGAAAGCCACTCTTATGACTGACAGTTATTCTCTCTGGACCCATGTCAACAATCATGTTATAGACCCTCTGCTCTTCTTCCTTCTTCCCTTCATGGCCCAGGTCTGCTATCTAGTACTTCTTTCTATTGAGAACCTAAATATACAAAAATGGCTCATCTATTAAAGATGACCAAGTTAATAACTCTCAACATGTTTAAGCTGCCATTTCTGAACTGTCCTTTCTAGCATTGTCTAAATAAGAAATATTTTAATACTGCTTGTGTTAGTGAAATACAATTTAACATAAAATATAAAATGAAGACCTTTTTAAAGAAAGTAACTTTCCCTTCAGTAAAGGAAAACATTAAATTATTGAGGGTGAATATACTTATATGTACCTTTATATATATTAATCCATTATTAAAAATATTAAAAGCTAAAGAAGAAACATAAAGTACCCTTCAATGACTATTCAACATCTGTGTTTAATATGGTAGCTCTATGACTAATATGTTAGTATAAAAAAACTAGTGCAAATAGCTTCAAATTAATCAATTAACAAAACTAAATTTGTTCTACTAGGTACCTTATGTCATACCTAAGAAAATGTCACTTTTTTGTTGTTTTGTTTTGTTTAGCATCATGGCCACAGCCTCCCCCACCCTTCTCTCACAGTCTCTCCTCCTCTATTCCCTTCTTGCTCCGCTCCCTCAACCCCCTTCTCTTCCATCTACACTCAGGAAAGGGCAGGTCTTCCATGAGACCTTGATATACAACATGGCATATCAAGTTGTAGCAAGACTAAGAACCTCCCCATGTGTTAAAGCTGCACAAAACAAAATGTCACATTTTTTACATTTTTATTTTACTTATTTTTTTTCAGGAACAAGCCCCCCCACCCAACATTAAGGCTAAACATGAAATCCCACCATAGCGAATGGACTTCAATAAGCTAGTTCATACACGGGGGATAGATCCTGGTCCTACTGCCTCACGGTTTTAGCTTCACCACTGTCTCCCACATATGTAGGGCCTAGTTCAGTCCCAGGGAGGCTCCACAACTGCCATGCGTTTCCACAAGCTTGGTTCAGCTGTCATTGTAGAGTTCTCCATCATGATCTTGACATCCAATGTCAGTTTTTTTAAAACTTACTCCATGAATATTGCAGCAGACCATTTAAATAAACCAAAATCAAGGTTTCAAGAGAGTTCAGTTCATCCCACAACGTAAATGTAGTTTATCAAATACAAGTCTGTCTTCAGTAGTTGAACAGATATAGTTGTGCTTTGGCTTGAAAAATAATGATAACTGTACCACTACAACATCAGATTAATCACCTCATGAAAACAAATCTGAAACATCCTTCATAAGGGCAAAGGCAAATGAAACATTGATACATGGATTGGCTGTTTAGATGCCCATCTTCAGAAAGTCACAGAAGAAAAAAAAAAAAACAGACAACCTCCAGACTGGAAAGTTTACTTCCACATCCAACCCCAATCAGAAGAGGTTGTTAGCAATAAGATCTGTGATCAATGGAATATGAACAGAAGACATTGCATAGACTCTGACTCTCATCCAAGGATATAGTAAATTTAGAGTTACTATTAGGCAGTAAGTTAATACAGTGGTTCTAAGAATGGATAAAAGACAAATGTGAAATGCATCCATCCACCAAGGGCTTAGTTTATCTGAGGGCATTGCACAAATGCAACAATATACAATAACTCTTTATTCATTAAATAGTCAGGAAATGCCATGTACCAGCTAATCAAATACTTTTTGTTAATTGTTGCCACATGCAGAAGGATTACAAATTTTTAAAGAATGAGAATAAATTAAAATACACTTAACATTGCAACTAAATTGATTATAATTTAATCTTTCTCTAATTATTCAGAATGCATTTCAGGGTCATCAGGAGCAGCATAAATTATCAGTGCTTGATGACTATGCAGGAAGTCACAGCTTTTCTAAGATCCTGGTTAATAAAGGCTGGGTAACAAAGAATTCATTGCAAAAGTTAGTATTTGTAGGAGTTACGTGCTAAGCATTTTTCTGAGATATGAAGTTTATCATCAGTCCTCATCCAAAGCAAATTTTGAGAGATGACGTACTGATATCCGTAAAACCAGAGTAAGTTGCCCAACATGACAGGGTATCAAAGCTTTTGGACACCAATATGTCTTTAAAGGACAGGCTCAAGTAAGAAAATCTTTGTTACAGAAAAATATTTGTGAAAGTGCCAGCCTGGCTGTTCAGAATAAACACACAATCATGGAGCCATTTTCCACAATAACAACCATAAATTTAGCAAGAGAGACCATGTAGTCCATATAAGTGTGTCTATATCTGCTCCTATGTCTGTGTCTGTGTATCCATGTCTGTCTGTGTAGTGTTTGCAGGAAATGCACTTGACCTGAGGAGGGGATGCTCTCCTGTGTGTGCATGTGGTGTTTGTAATCCAGAAGTCACCATCCAGTGCTGTGGGATCATGTTTTTGTTCACTGTAAAGATTTGTCACGCATATAGTTAATAAAAGGCTGATTGGCCAGTAGCCAGGCAGGAAGTCTAGTTGGGGCAACCAGACTAAGAGGATTCTGGAAAGAAGAAAGGGAAAGAGAGTCAACAGCCAGATGCAGAGGAAGAAAGATGAGACTTCTGCATTGAGAAAAGGTACCAAGTCAAGTGGCTAAACACAAACAATCATTATGGGTTAATTCAAGTTGTAAGAGCTAGCTAATAATAAACCTGACTAATAGACCAAACAGTTTATAATTAATAGAAGCCTTTGTGTGTTTCTTTGGGACTGAATAGCTATGGGACCAGGCAGGACAGAAACTTTCCTCCATCTTCCTTTACCTTATTTTCTGGAACAAGGTCTCTCCATCCTGGAGCTCATCAATTGAACTGACTGGCTAGCAAGAACCTCAGGGATTACCCCCTATCTTGCCACCACCTTGTTTTGGAAATATAGCAATGCAAGGTTTTTATGTGGGACTTGGAATTTAAACTCACATCATTCCATGTAGCAAGCACTTTTTCTGTGGAGCCACCTCCCAAAATTCACAAAATAGTTTTGAAGGTGTTTATAGACAAAATGAGAAATGTTAATATAAAACATCATACCCTGAGCAGCTCAGGAAAAAAATATTTTCAGAAACTAGACCAATATAGCCCCGATCCACTTAAATTCATCTGATAATAAATGTACACACTTAAAATAGACTCACTTACTCATCTTTATGTGGTGGTCTAATTCCCACATTACTCTTCATTTTAAACTGTTAAACACATTTGACTGGATTATTACTTGTAGAAGAACAGGATCAGTAACAATTACTTAAGATTTGGGACTGACAGGAGAGCACAATAGAGCCAATCCAATAGAGTTAACACAGGAGTGGGTGAGCTTGTCCCAAAGCTGTGAGCATGAGAAAGCTCTCCCCATTTCTCATCTGT